CCTATTTTAACAGATAATGGGGAGTACATGTGATAAAATCACATCAACTATATAATGTACTGATGTTTTCCCAAGTGCTTTGTGTTTTGCAATGCAACTTTTATAACATGCATGTTTTAAAGAAGGGGTTGGCAATGTATGACCCACAGAGCTAGTGGATCTGGTTTGTGGAGCTTCATAGCTTTGTCTGTGTCTGATCTGGGCTTCAGCAGTGAGGAGCTGTGTGCTGGGGCCAGGGAACTAGAAGCTTTGCGTCCAACACTGCCACTTCTCTCCTTTCTCCCCAAGGCTGCAGTGCTAAAACAGCTTCTATCTGGAACAGAGCTGCTCTGAGGCCAGGAGGTGGGAGTGGGCGAAGGAAGGCAGGGAGAAGTGGCGGCAGCATAGAGGTAGCTTCTAGATTCCCAACACTGGTACAGCTACTCTCCAAGAGGGAGCTGTGCTCACACTGCAGCCATGGAGCAGGGGGCTGGGGGAGAAGCAACAGCAGCTCAGGCACCATTCGCAGCTGTGTGGTTCTAGCAGGGGCACAGGGAAATCTGACATACCACCTTGGCTTGAAACCAGGTTGGCGGTTCCTGCTCGAGAGACTTCTCCATCTTGCTATAGTTCAGTGTGGTCTGCAGAGGTCCTTTTTAAAATTGTGCATGGCATTCTGAAGCATAGCAAGGTTGTTGGAAAATTTTTCCTGTCCTAATTCTGCACTTTCCTAAGTGCTAATATATCATATGTTTGTCCTCAGTGAAAACAGTGGCAGAACTAGCTTCATCTTGGGGTAATGACCATTCTTGCTTCACCAGAACAGAATGGAAGGTGGTGTCAGGATGTTTTTGGAACACAGGATTGAATATTATTATGGCCTGAATGATAGTGTTGCCCCTGGGTCGGGGTCAGGGCCAAGTCTAAGTAACAGGGTCCTATGCAGTCCAGCTATGTAGAGTAGGCAGTATTTTGAGCTGCTTCCTGAAGAAAGTGGAACAGAGGTGACTTAAACCATAGTTGATGGCTGAAGCTGGGTCAAATGATATGATGACAAATTCCTAGGAAGTAGATGGGTGAGAGGTTTGCTAATTCTGTGTTGTCTTCTACTTGGGTGGAGCCAGGTATGGCTGTTACATCCCCACTGAAACCTGCTGAAGGTTTGCTACAAGATGGCACGTTTTGCAAAGCAGCTGCAGAGTTAACTTGCCCTCATCCTATGCATCCTTGGTGTTGGAACACTAATCGGGAGGCTTGACAAAGTAGTCAGTCATGGATAATCATCCTGTACTTTGTTAAACATGTCCTTAATAACTAACAGGTTTAAAGAGAGCTAGAAGGAAACTCTTAAATGACAGCATACCATAAGCTGTGGGCTATGTTTGATCTCGCAAGGGATCACAAAATCACTTCACTTGATGTGGCTCAGAAGGTGCATCTCAAGCCAACTTGCTCAAGCTGTAGCATCTCTGCCATGAAGTTACTGCTGCAGTTAACACTTAAAAGTAAAGCGTCTCTTAGCTGTGCTACTGTAGTTGAGTCTGTCTTTTCATTTGGAACAAACAACTGTTGAGCTGCTTTGAATGTTTTATTTGTATCATGGTGGGGGTATTGGCACCAATCACCATACTCTGATCTTTTTAGGTACACACAGCATTTCAGGCCATGTATAATTTGGCTTCCAAATTATGTCAACATTCTTTCTCGTGCATTCATTCTATTTGAGCAACCTTTAACCAACTGCATTGTGGCTGGAGAAAATCAGTCCTTGCTACGTAGGGTGTAGGCCTGAATTTTGAAACAGAAGGTGTATTTCATTCATGTGCAGTTACCTCAGTTTTGCACACAAATTGAATTATGAGTAACAAAACAAGCTTAGATGTCTGACTGGTAATTTTACATGTGCATGTAGTCTCTGCAATTCCACTAAAAAAAAATCCACCTTTGTTTATCTCAAGTTTATTTGATTCACGTTTCTTAAACTATATGATCCATTTTGCATGGTGGGCATCAGATTTAGCCAGGAGAGGCAAATTTTCCTTTTAATATCCAGTTTGTGTTTTTGTAGACGTCTACAAGAAGAAGAGCAACAGTTCAGAACATCATCCTTGCCTGCCATACCAAATCCATTTCCAGAGCTCTGCAGTCCTACAAGCTCTCCAGTGCTGACCCCTGGGTCTTTACCTCAAAGTCAACCTGCTATTAAGCATGTGAGTAATGAGCAGTTTCATGTCACAGATTTTTTTTACAAGCTGATGGTTGATTATTTTTAATTTCAGTTTGAAAGGCAGAAGGAAAAACATAAAAAATACTAGAAATATTTATATATCTTGTCCTTGAGCAGGGTAACACAGAAAAGAGAATAATTTCTGCAACCAGATTTCAAAGCTTTAAAAGGTTTGTAAGTACAAAGTGTTATCAGCAGCTCTTTCAGTTAATGAAGGATGTTTGTAGTGAATGAAGCAATAATGTTTAATATCCTTGTTTGGATTTAATTATGCCAGGCAATGACTCATTTACTTCAGAAGTCTGGATAATTTGCTTGGAGTTAGAGCAGTAATTGGGTAAATTACACTGCATATTTTAGGAGCCACAGTAGTGCTTACTACCTGTTGCTGATTAAAATTCAGGGTTGCTATAAATAGCTGCCTATATTCTTTAGAGATATTGTATCATCTTTATTGGTTTTACTGCATAAAGCTGCACAAAAAGCAAAGTAATCTTCTTAAGACCATAGCTGAGGAGATGGGACTGATCAGCAGAATGAACATGGGGAAAGCTGACTTAAACAGCTCTTGGAGTTCTTTACAATGGAAATTGAACAGATTGGACCCACAGCACAGCTCTCATGATGTATAAGACAATGAGCATGTAGGTGGTGTCTTTTTAAAATATCTTTTTTTTCCTCCTTTTCTGCTATTCTTCACCCTTTACTGAGCATCATTTCACCACCTCTATTTCAAGAGTGCTCTGGGACTAATAATGGAGGCTAAAATTGAGCCAGAAAAACCTGAACAATTTGAGGGAGACTAACATAATTTATCATTTTATGCTAACATATTTTCATTTGTGTTTGGTGCAAATATGATTTGCCCTTGGAACTACAAGGTGTGAAATGTTACATTACCTCACTTATCTGTATTAGTTTGTCTAGAACAGTTCTGCAAATTGAAATTTAAACAGCTCCTCACAGCTGCCTGCATTAGTAATACAAGGGCTAACTTGAAATAAAGATTCCCAATTGGTCTCCACACAGTAATGAGTCCCTTAATGAGACTTTAGAAGGAGTCTGATCTGAGGGCTGAGTACTGTGCTGTCATACAGTGCTTAGAGAGGTTAGAGAGCCAGGATGCCTTTGGTGCTAGGGAATGATTTCTGTATCCAAGCAGACAACAATAAGCAATTCTCTTGTTACCCGTGGCACTTGATGGCAGAATAACTTTGCTGCCTTTCTTCCAATCTTGAGGGCATGTAATGAAAGAGACTGCAGAAATTTGGAGACTTCAATTACTCCTTCCTTTCTCCCTCCCTCCATTCCTTTGTTTTACACTTTAGGGGTCAGCAACTTTTTGTAGATTTAATTTTTTTAATAAAATGTAATAAAGTGCAGTCTGTAAGGTAACTGAAGCTTAAAAGTCCTAATTGAATGTTGTATTTCTAACATCATAAAGCAAATTAAGAATCTGAATAAAAGTAGCTTGAATACATTTTCATAGATATGCTGTAATTTCCTAGATCGCAGATGAAAGAGACAGCTTTAGTGTGAAGGTTACATATTCATACTTACCAGCCAATGAGAATCAGCCTTTAAGAAGGTATATAATGTACAAATGCAAAACAGTCTTATTTTGCATTTAACTTAACCAGCTTTTCTTGCATGTTGGTTTAAATCGGAATTAATATGTGCAGTTTAAATCAGTCCACCCTAGAGTGCATGGGATGAGACCAAGTACAAGGGAAAAGTAATACTTTCTATGCCAATTAAGCCTGTAGATGTAGTGGATCAGAGGCTAGTCTGTCCAAGTAGTTAACTGCTACATAGATGCCCGTCCCTTGAGACCTGCAACATTAAATAGTTTATAAATCACAGGCTACAGCAAAGTCTTAAAGTTACTGACAGATAAAAATTTTAACAAGTGTCCCACAGATGAAAGGCTCCATTTTGCATTACCAAGCTATAGGAACCAGTTGTTCCCCTTTATGCTGTGGCAGTAGGCTTGAGGGGCTTTGTTCTCACTTACACTGTAAAAAAAATGAATTAGACATCTCAGATTGTGTTCATAATAGCTGATAGATGAAAGTGCTGATTACTGATTAAAGCTGCCCAGCCTGTAATAGCTAGAGAATTTTTGTTTTCACTTGCCACAAAAGTATTAGGAAATATATAGGGCAGTTACATGTTCCGCTAATCTTATGAAATAGAAGCGCTTGACAAAATATATGGAACTTTACTTGCAGTGTTGCTCTATGTAAACCAAAGATTGGATTCCTGCCCAAAGAAGCTGGTAGTTGGAAGTGGCTAGCAGCTTTGTAGGGGAGTCAAAATATTATGTAAAAGCACGGAGTTTTTTCAGCTTAATGCTTGTAGAAGAGCTTTGTTTGAAACCATCACTGCAACTGAAACCTACAGATTTCTTGTGTACTTCATGTCATGTACATAGAAAAACTACTGTTTTGTTCGAGTTGCTGCTGCTTGATTCAGGAATTACTTTAAGACATCACTAATGCACTGGTCTAGGGTTGCTATGCATATTCTCTGCCCTGTTTCAGAAGGGTGCAATGTTTTTTAAATTTTAAGTAGGGCAATATCTAGCATTGGCTTAAGAACCTGTGGCTGCCTTTGTTTTCATGATAGAAAAGTGTAGCACACACTTAACATTTCAGTGGTACGTCAGGGAGAAAAATAACAGAAGTGGAAAGAAACCTGAAGCCATCACTCACTGGTTCCCTCTTTGCAATACATTGTTTTCACTTTTTCTTGAAGGTGAATGACTGTATTTGCTTTCCTCTGTAAAAATATATGTATATGCTATTAAGATAAGCTTGTATACAAATGTGTGTGTGGTATGAAACAAGTGGGACATCTGATCACAGCAAGTCCTCTAAAGAGTACAATTCAAAATGCATCTAGATCTTAAAAAAGGAAACAGACTTTCCGCATTTCAGCGAGAGACTAGATATGAAAATATGTAAATGCATAACTATACCAGTTTTAAAAGAGGCAGATGGGCAGCTGAATTAAGGGATGTCACAACTGATGCCAGATAGTGGAATTTCTACATGAACCTATATGATAAATGCATGACTTTAGCAATCCTGTGTCATGCAACTTTCATGAGGGAACTGAGACCAGGTGAAAGGGCAGTTTGAAGTGCTGTCATCAAATCTGGTGCACTGTTAAAAGAGAGATAAGGTCAGGGAAAGCTCATTCTAGTGTGATCGGACATCTGATGCATCAAGGAAATTAGGAACAAGTAACAGGACAAATGTGCTCTTGCAGTGAGTTGCCAGCTGTGATGTAAGGCTGAACAGATGCAACAGTCTATGTGAAGTGAATGAACAGTGTGTAGTCCTGAGCATCAGCCTATCCCTGTTAAATGGTAGAAGGGGTTTCAATAAAAAGTTGGTATACTGAAGACTTGAGTAAGAATAGAGGGGGACTGAGGGGTGATTTAGTAAACAGTGTGTTTGGGGATGTTGGTAGGTGGGCCATGCAACAACACAGGTAGGTAGGAGAGGTGGGCTACAGAACCAGAAGGATCTGAAAACCATTGCTGTAATGGATGAGACCCGCAGTACATCTGATAAATAAGGAATTATGGTTCTTCAAAGACACTTGCTAGAATAGTTGCTGAATCCCTAGCTGTTGTCTTAAAATTGTGACCTGATGGAACTACTGAGTGAAAAGCTGTGTTATCCTTAGATTTAGACAGTAAATTCTCACATCTTTGGAGAGGCCTACATGGAGCAAAGGCCAGCCCTTCACTTTCTACCCTGTGCATTTCTTTTTTGTAAGAGCATTTGCCGCCCCTTCTAAGTATAAAGCTAGTATGAAACTGCACATATATAATTGCTCCTAGCTTGTGTTGGGTGCTTGGCGGGGGCGGGGAGGAAGGAGTGGTAAGAGAGGTGTATCTAGATCTTTGCCCTCCCCCCCAATTTAGGGAGGACAGTAATTACAGGATGGGAGTAAAGACAGCTAAAAGATTTTAAATATCCTTTGCTTAACTGGATAAATATGTTTATCTAAGAAAAATTATAACCAGAAAATAAACCAGACCAAGACCAAACATTTATATATAAGATTGCTAAAAACATCAGACAGATAGATTACCACTAATTGAAGTCCATCTCTGTGTTGCTGGTATAAACCAAAAACTTGTTGGTAACTTAGGTTATAATTTCTGGTTGTGTACAAATATTTTGGAAGAAGTATGCAATAATTACATGTAGGTCACTGCAATGCCACAGGATATTAGTCTAAAGTATCTTGTGCGAGTCAATGAAGCTTTCAACTGTAAAAATAGGGCAAATTTCTCACATCCCTCTCTATACAGCCCAGGCAAACTTCCAAGCAGCAGTTGATGTACCTAAGTTATTTACTGTTTTGTATCAAATTTAACTCACAAATGGTTATAAATTAATATCCACCTTTATTCCAGATTTAGTTACCCTTTAAGAGAACTTCTGTAAACAAACTTTCTAGTTCTAATTAGTTTAATTACATGTTGGTGAACAGATTTTATAAATTGTCATCCCATAAAAGCTTTATACTTTCCTTGTTTTGAAGGCAGGGGTGCTAGTTCCTGAAAGACCAACAGTATAAAATTATGCACATTTAGGGTAATGTATGCTTGCTGTGCAAAATTAGCCCTCATTCCATATGTAAAAGTTGCATTGGAGTAACACTAACACAGTGTTGCTTTATTCAAATGACAAGTGCTGGCAACAGGTTGAGTCAGCATCAAAACAAAGGCTTTTATTTCAACCTTTGCCTTCTAACAGGATACTCTGTAGGGGCCTCGGTCTGCAGCCTCTTGCCCTTTTGCCAGGCTTCCTTAGCTGAGTTTCTGAAGTCCCAGTCACAGAATCTGCACCAATGGTTAAATTTTAGAAACCTTTAGCTTTCTGGTGTATTTTTTTAACCCTGGCTGCAAATTTCCAAGAGCCAAAATAAGCTCCCAGAACTTCAGCTGTACACTTATGAGTC